GAATATACTTTGACGTCCAATTATCACCAACAAGAATAGCAGACGCCATCTGCCTCGGATGAATCACAGGTTCATCTACACCAGACCAAGGCGCCCACCACAACTCCTGATGAGCAACCTGAGCAATAGACCCATCAAATACAATTGGCGAAGGTTGATGACGCTTCACAGCAACCATGGCACCAACAACCTTAAACGACTTCCACAAACTTAACAACTGAATTGGTCGCACCGAATCAACCATACACAACTTCCAACCACCCGGCGGAATATTCTGCAACACATTAGATACCCTGTAGGAAACAACACGCGGAAAAGCCCTAGAACGGTTGCCCACGCGACCTATAGTACTTCTCCTTCGCATACCAACGCGACCTCGGCCCCAACTTCTTCGTCCTCGGCGGCCTCGGCTTATCCCACCTTTGCGGACGCGGCCGTAACCTCGACCGATACGCTTCCCGTAAGATCTCACCCGTCCTCCGTAACGCGGCATCTCTAAACCTTCCTAAAGCCTGATTAGCAGTATCAACTCCGTAATCAATGATAGTATCAACAGTAGACTGTTTAGATATATCACCACCAGACAATAAACTATTGACTGCGTTTGCAACCTGTAAACCTGTGCCAATAGCAGACCCAGCGGCACCAATACCAAACAAAGCGGGAGCAAATTCTACTAAAACCGGTAATGCCTGAGCCCAAAGACTCAAAGACATGCAACTTCTAAAAAAGGTGCAGTGTGTGCTAATGTCCCAAAAGGGCGGCACACGGCACACTAGTAGGTAATACTATAGCTACTAGTGTGGGTGTCATTAAAAAAATTGCTTACGGCATTTTTTTAATAATTAAATGACCATAAACCCTATAATCCTAAACCCCAAAGGATTTTCCGCCCCATTGAAAAAAGTGTGTGTACAAACACGCGCATTAAATTTTCCAATTTCGAAATTTTGAAATCAAAAAACAAACACAGCACCATGACCGGAGCCAGATGCAGCACTCGCGCAAGAGCTTACTGCTTCACAAGTTACGCTGAAACCTGCCCGCTCCCAGCCACCTACCAAT